AAACAATTTTTTTTTTTTTTAATTCTTCACGAGGCGGGTTCGGGGCGGCGCACTCGCCCCGTGACTGAAGATGGGGTGGCGAAGCTCGCCCCGCCCCGCCCCACCAAGCCAAGCCAACTTGTTCGGGGCGGGGCCCCGTGGGGATGGGGCGGGGAAAATTGTCATCTGTAGTGTATATGGCTTAGCTTCGCCTTTATAAGAAACCATTACCCTTTTATATAAGAATTTTGTTATTTGTACATCACTTTTTATCAGACTAAAGAGTGTATTGGCAATGTTTTATTGGATGAAAAAACCTTTTTTTTTGTTGAAATTGTCCAATCATTGTGTCGAAGAAGCTAACAAATAGGATGTACATTAAGCATTGTTATTTATATAAGCCTTATAATAAGAATTTGTTGTCCTCGGCTGAATATAGAAATGTTAACGAGTCGAGTCGAGCCGAGCAACGAGTCGAAACTCGAAGGTCGGGTTTGGCTCAAGCAAAACGGGTCCGAGCTTTTTTGGGCTCGAGTCGAGCCGAGTAAAAGCTCGATCAAAAAAATGAGGCTCGAGCCGGCTCGGATTTTTTTTTTTCTTCTAAATTTTTTTTCTTGTCAAATCTAATTTTTTTCTTAAAGAATATAAAATTTGTACAATTTATACGTATTATAAATTAAATAAAAGTTAAAACCTTCCTCCTTTATTCGGGTTTGGGACCGGCTACAATCATTGTAGGTAGAGTTTAACATTGTACACGAGTAAATATTTCGTGTACAATTTCTCTTGAAACAAAAAATTTAAAAATTATGTATTTTTTAAAACTAATCAATTTAAAAACTTACAATATCTTATGCTTGAATCTGCTGCAACTCTTCGACCATTATATTGTCAACTTCTTCTTGAAAACGTAATTTCGTACATTCACAGTCTTTCAAACATATTAAAGCATCCAATATATCTTATTTTAGTGTTGATCGTTCGTCATATAAAACTCGACCACCTAAACTAAATACAGCTTCCGATGCTACTGTAGACACCAGATGTGTTAGTAGATCGCGAGCAATTTTTGATACAATTGGATACAGCCTTTTGTTACATCTCCACCATGATAAAAGACTAAATTCCTATAATTCTTGTTGTTGTAACATACTACGAACATCAACGCACATATATCTAGCTAATTCAAAGGGAATTTCAAAATTTGTACTACCGACATCTATTGCTTTAGATATTGATGAACTAAAACTAAATGAGGGAACACTAATATTGGTCTCTAAATAATTCCATAGATTATCAGCATTTGTTGAAGTATTTTTTGAAAAAGAACTTTGGGAAGTAGAACTACACTGACTTCCTTTTTTAGCGTAATAGTTATACATTTCACATAACATTGTTTCTCTATGCACATGTGATAATTGTATATTCATGAAATTTGAAATCCCCTTTTTAATA